GTACCATCATAAATAGCACTCTGCAAACACTCCAACAGATTTGGCCACTTCAGAACACAAACCAGAACCATAATACTGATCATGGTAATCTCCCAGTTCTCATTGTGAGGTCTGAAACTCTCCTACCCCATAAACTTGCTAAAAATGCCCTACTGTGCAATCTTTACCAACTGTCCATGCTGACCTGAAGAAATTTTAGCTACTTCTTGAGAAGGTAGAGAAGGCAATATTTTGCACACACACAGAATATACATATAGGTGGCAGCCTTTTTGGTTGTGGTTTAGTGGGTTTTCTTTTTTTTTTTTTCTTTTCTTTCTCACCTTTAAATATGTTGTGCAATCCCCAGGCCTTGAAACCATAACAGAAAGATAGCAGGACATCTTCTATTTGCCAAGGATACTTTCATTGCCATCTCTCCAGGTCTCTAAATGCAGTCACACTGTCACTCCTATGAAATGACCTAAATTCTGCCATTTATAAGCTTTTGGAAAAATTTGCAGTTAAATGTTATCCTGGAGAATAGGAATTTAGCCAGGGTATACCACAGATCTCTGGTAGTATGCCAGACAAGTCACTTAAAACCAATGTTTTATATGATCATTAGGGTGCGGGTGCCTGAACTGCGACAATACACAAAAATTCAAGTAACAAAATCCATTCTTTGAATGCTTACTAAGATCTACCTATGCTGAGAAATAAGCATCTTAAGTTCTCAAAATTCTGTCCTTATGTTTTGCCAAAGATTTCCTTCAGCAGACCTACCTGAAAAATTAAGATGCCTCCCCCACAATCTTTAATGAATTGCAAGAACACTGTAGTTACGAGCATCTTAAAAAATCACAGAAAAGAAAAATATTTATGCCTTTGTTTTCTAAGTAAAACTTGAATACTACACCATAAACACAAACTAGCCTTTTGAGCAATGAAACTAGCCCAAAATATCAAACAGCTGCTCATTAGATTAGAGCTATCCATCTTGAGATGAATCTTGCAGTCACATAATTAAAGACTTTCGTAACGCACCTATAAAGGGCTGAAATACTATTTCTAGTCACATGAAAAAACCTACAACCCCCTTATTGGTCTTCAGAGAAGATAACTTTTCTTCAAAATACACTAATTAAAAGGAAAGGAATAATCAGAAAGGGCCAAATTAGAAATCTGGTTTCTGCTAAAAATAAAGGTGCCTAACAACAAAAGAAGAAAGTCTGTATCAAGTCCCAGTGCAACATAATCCATTAAGATGAACAAAATCACAACCCACCAGCAGCTACAGCAGCTAATAGGTTACTACTACCTAGCCAGAGTTTTTTCATACATCTATTTTTTCCAGATATATTTATACAAATTTATAAAAGCTTACCAACTGTAGCCATCTGATCACAATACCACGTCTCCTTCCCATGTCTTATTAGTGATGTGTGATGCTCACTCAAAGGACAAATAACTATATCAGGTTACATTTTTTACAAAAAAATACCAATGATCTCTTCCAGTAATAGAAAATTATATTTATTTTGTATAGGTCTACACTTCTTAGGAAAGTATGCCAACCAGTACACTTACTATACATGAAACTAAAATAACCATATTTGAACAATTCTCACTCAAGACTTTTCCTCAAAATACCACTTATTCCCCTCTCTTTTCTAGGAGTGAGAGTCACAAATTTTTGTGAACTAAAATATGGTAAGAACGACCCAAAAATTTGAGATATTGCTTTCAATATTTTTCAGTAATTCAAGACAGGTCAAGCACATCAAAAGACTGCAGTACCTTCATGATCACTAAAGAAGAGTCACTGGGCTGGAAGTGAAACTTATCCTTTATTAGCAGACTTTATTTCTTTTACACCCAAAGTAAAAATAGAACTTACACTTTCTTACAGATTGTCCATAAGTCATTCCAATGTACTCTGCAATTCATGAGTTGTTAATCATTACACAGTCATAAAAGAACTATGTATCTCAAGTCACATTTTTAAAAGCCATTATACCTGTCAATTTTTTAATTTTGTTTTTAGTTGACCTTGAGAAAAGTTCCTACAAACAACATATACAAAGATGAAAAGGAGAAATTAGATAGAAAGCTAACACTTTAAAAGGTCCAAGCCTACCACAGGAACCTTTATGCTCTAGACCTTCATGTGATTGTTTTCACATAATAAAGTAGATATAAGATGCAATGTGTAAAGCTTTTCAAGAGATTGTTGTTTCAACATCCACAAAGTAACATTTATTGATACATCATTCATCTTCCTAAAATTTAAGATTAGGAAAATTATAACAAAAGCACTACAAAACGAGTTGAGAGGACTCTTACAACCAACAAGGACACAGCCAAACAGAATGAACCTACTGAAGAAGCCCAGAGAGGTGTTGGATGCCCCATCCCTTGAAGTGTTCAAGGACAGGTTGGATGGGGCTTTCAGCAACCTGGTCTAGTGGAAGGTGTCCCTGCCCACATGGCAGGGGAGTTGGAATTAGATGATCTTTAACATCCCTTCCAACCCAAACCATTCTAAGATTCCATGAATTACATGAAATCTGGTTAAGCACATTAAATAAAAGAACTAAGCACAACTATTTTTGCAACAATCTAGCTTTCATTTCTCTGCCATCTTTCACCCAGAGCATACCTTTCCTCCCTATTAAACAGATGACAACAGTTGTGTATCAAGGAACATCACCCACAGATCCACTTCACTTTCAGATAGGTATCTGTAGCTTCAAACTGCTTCAAACTCTTTCAATTTACAAAATATGAGGCATGTAAGACCAGTACAATTGATTGATGCCACTAATTTTATTTTTTATATTAAACAACATAGGAAATGCAAGAGTTTTTTTACTCCTCCTCTCTCAATTTTCACCATGATTAACATAATGGTCAGGTTGCATACCATTTTCACAGAACAGTAGATTTAAACCTTATACCTCATTCCCTGACTAAAATACTGTGAAATTAAGATATAACAGCATCAACTAAAACTAATTCACAGAACTTTGTGAAACCTTGCACAGGAGATTTTTGCATTCAGTTTTATATTGTCCCAGCAAATCAAACCGTGGGGATGTCAGAGAAGTAATTAAGCCTCTTTCCTTGTAAAAAGATTGAGTCAGATATCAATAAAATATTTAGGATTCTGGGAACATAATAACATGAAAATAACTAGTTACCAGAAATAATGAATTCAGTAAGTTTTCCATTTAGGCAAAGCAAGACAAAGTCTGTATACCTTGAAACTCCAAGCTTCCCTTCCCTCTCTACCAACAATTTCAGTTCCACTTTCCAAGGGAAATAACATCTACCTGATGAACAAGCATGAAAAGTTTCATTGCCAAAATGGTGGGGTTTGTTGAGCTACATTGTGTACTAACAGTTTAAACTTCTGTATAATCTCTAAACTATGTTTTTTGCTTATTGCAAAATCTGCAACTGCGTGCCAGCCCTACGTCAAAGTATGATTTCTTTCTCTTGCATAGATGGGGACATTTCTTAAGGTAAACTAACTTTTTGTAAAGCAATACCTTGACCTTTTCCATTTTACTACTCCTACATTTTAGTCCATCTCTGTGATTTAAGTAATTCAAAGTAATACAACTAAAATATGACAGCTTGTGCTAATTTAATTTTTTCCTTTGTATATAAGCAGTTATTTCATATCACTTAGACTTGCTGTGTTACCCTAGTCAATCTAGAACTTTTCATCAACACTCTTTCGAGAGTAGAAAGATCAGGAAAAACCAATACACATGCAGCTTTCTCATTTTATTCCTATTTGCAAATTCAAGATATACTATTCTATTTCACCTTTTTCGGTACTTGAGTTTCAGAAGGAGATTTTTTTTTTCTTTTTTTTAGATTCAGTTCTAAATATTTCATGAACACCAAATGGTTTGGTAACATGAACTCCCTTAGAATGCAATTAAAAAGGGAAAGGAACAAAACAGTCTACAACAAGAAACTGTGATACGTTTGATACTTGCATAAGAAAAATCCACTGGACACATTCTGAAACATAGCTAGATTACTTTCTGTATTTCTACACCATTAGAACTGAATTCTTGGAAAAAACGTTCCTCCTTCAAAAAGTTTCTGCTATCATCTCTTCCTAATATTTCCAATTCTTAGCTGTATATTCAGAACACACTGTACACATGCCCATGCACATTCTAACATAGAGTATGCACAGAACATATATATATATAAATATATTTTCAAGAAACAAATTGTAAGATTAAAATTATAGTGAGCCATATAAAATACAGCATGAAGATTTAAACATTTTAACTGAGCAATAAGAATCTACAGATTCTTATAAAACTTACAGAACCTTTTTGTCATGCAAAACCTAAATTTCTAATTCCTGACACCTGAGGCCTTGTTAAATAATGTTTGCTCTTCTGCTTATGAATGCATTTTTCCCAAACAATAAACACAGGCAGCCTATGGGATTAAAGCATGACAAAGGTGTAGCTGACTCATGGGATCAATTAGAAAGCATCAGTACTTATGCCTTTTGTTCATTCCATGTTTTACTAACAGTTTCTGCAATTTCAGCATAAGTGTATCACAGATGTTAAACGCCATGCTACAAGGCAACAGTCCACTAGTACCATACACTAGACAGAATAAATCTATTCTTATCAACACCTACAATTATATCACTATACAGCTTACATATTTCTTTAAAGTTTTAACAAATGCATAGGGATTTTAACTGAATGCTCACAGCTTCCTGCCCAATGAAAGTATGTCAGCATTTTTTCAGTACATTTAACATTCAAAAAGAACCTACAGAGTTGTCTTTTCTAAGCTAAAAACAATTTTAAATACAGCCACCGACCCTAATGCCACAGGTACAGCTTTCCCTCCAAACCCGCTGTTAAATTCACAAGCAAGAAAGCCCATGAGCAGGACGACAAGCAGTTTCAATCTCCATGCAGTTTGCCTGTGACAGGTTATTGATAGAACAAACAGAATTTGCAATACTTACTGAGTGTTTCTCCTGCTGGCCCATAACTCCATGGTTAGCTGGGATTGCAAGTGGTTTCATAATGAAGAAACATAAGCTGAACTGAATTTACACATCATGTACCAATTTCTTATGGATGGCAAGTCACCCTCTACAGCATTAAATTAAAAAGCAGCGGAGGGGGTGAAGCCAAGCTGGAGCTAAAAGTGTCACCACTGGTAAGCTCAAACCCCTCCTCGCACTTGTAGTGCAGAGCAGCAACCCGAATGACAGCGTTAGTCTCCATTTTTGTAACACTGAAAGTCTAAGCATGTCAGGATGTACAGAGCCTGATGAAACCCTACATATCCAGCATCCATTCAGAGGAAGAAAATCATTCCCTGAGCCTGAGGAAAGGGAAGCTAAAAAAAAAAAGGAGGAAAAAAAGCTAAAATGGCTGACTGCACAGAGGCTCCCTCAAAAAGGCTTAATACAGTATTATATTAGTCAGGGTGCAGGAATCAGCCTCCAGCACTCAGCCAAGCATTGTTAATACTCCTGTTTCATTTGCAATCACACACACTCACACATGCAGCCTCCCCCCTCCCCACCACCACTACCCTCCACTCCCCCAAAATCAGGGCAGCGCACACGAATAGGGACCTCCTCCCCTGACTGCTAATGATGCTGACAGAGTAGTGACCAGTGATCTCTGTTCACTCAGCTAACCAAGTTTGCACAATTAATCTCAGCAGCATGACATTGATGGACATTTAATTTTATGATGCCTGTTCCTCGCAATCAAGACAAGCACTTCTACCGCCCAAAGAGTCAGCAACTAAAATACAACACAATTACACACAAAAACCCAGAGAATCATGAGTCTGAATGCAATACGCCAATATAATTACGTTATTGTGCTTACTTTGGAAGACCATGGCTGCAGGCAGTTGGCATAGCAACGCACAAGGAAAGCCATTTCCTGGGTAGAAAGAATGCTTCCTTTTCTAAATAAAAAATTCCTCTTAGGATACAAACGGCATTGCTGCTTCCTGCAGAAAGCAAAGACACTGAAGTCTGTCTCTTAACCTGCACACAGGCACACACTCAATGCAGTTCGAGTGATGTAAGTGCATTTCTCTCTCTCTCTCTCTCTCTCTCAACTCTCCCTCCCTCTCCTTTTATCCACCGAAATATTCGAGTTAAATGGAAGACACATTCCTTGAGGCTCGCCCCCTCCGATACTTAACTGTTTCACTCATTAAGGTAGAGATGGACAATGCAGATAAAACAGCAAGCTCCTGCCTGTGTCTGGTATCAGCCTCGGAAGATCAAGGCATCCCCAGAGGGGAGGGATCCGTTTGCTGCTGGCTCCTAAGAATATCACTGAAGTCAGGGTGGGAATGAGGACCCACGTTTACCTCGCCAAATCCTGAACTGAACACGACTTTTCAAGAAGACAATGCTAAAGCAGAGATATCACCTCCCTTTCCACCCCCTGCAAAAGAATGCTCCTGCAGAGGTGTAAACATTGTTATCACGTATTTATAAACAGTGCACTTGATGAGCTCTCTCAGATTTTCAGCAGCTTCGCTGCTACACAGGCCACAGACATCCATTCACGGGCTGTGGGAGGTAAATATCCAGAACCTTTTAACACACCGTTTCATGCCTTTCTGAATACAGCGCCTGCTTCTCCTTGCACAGTGAATATAAAGTTTCCACTGAAAACACATGGGGATACAGGTTGTGGAAGAGATTGACACACATATGGCGTTTATAATTCTCCACTCAGACTGTAACTATGTCTTAAACTTAGAAATTTCCCCAGTCACTCCCATTTACACTACACCACTTCTCATATTATACAAGCAAAATCACACTGCAGAGGAGTCAAAATGAAATGCAATCAGGGACCATGCTCAAGCAATAAACAGTTAGCACTATACAATGTACCTCTTGAGAGTCATGAGTTTGTACCACTTGACAGAGGACTGACCAAGCCAGGAACATGGTACTCTTCCATCAGGCTTCATCTTTAGTAAAGTTCTCTATAACACCTTCACAACACATTCTTTAAAAGCAGAGACCACCTGACCTAAAAATAACTTCAAAGTTGTTGTTGTCTTTTTTTAACAAGGACAACAGAAGAAAAAAGACTTAACAGTTGTTACACAGGTATAAATACACAGTGGAAAAAAATGGATACTACAGAATACTATGTCATAAAATCTGCAGCTGCCTTCCATCAAATTACATGTCCACTAATAATGAGTTTAGTTGATTACACATTGATTTCTTTCACTCCTGACAATGACTGCTAGTAAATGAAGTTATAAAAATTAGTGGAAATTAATTTTAGTAAAGCCAGAAAACACCCTGAAATATTCTAATCTATTTTTTGCAGTTATTCTATGAAAATTGTTTCATACACAGCACATATTTTAAATTGAATATATTTACATTTATGAGAGTTTTATGACACTTGTACCCTTGGTCTTGTAGTATAGTCTAAAAGATAAGTTATTCTTTAAGTTATTCAATTATAACAATTAGTTTAGGATTTTAAAAAATCTTTGCAATGTGCCACTGCAACTAACAGATGATTTTAAATTGCTAAATTATGCTTAAGCCTTGTAAAACAGTTTACTGGTGAGTACAATCAATTTTCTGATAAAGCGTTGATCAGAAGTAATAGAAGTTATGCATTCTAGGAAGCTATGGCAAACCCTCTCTAGTACAAAATTAAAAAATACTACTTGTTGACAAAGTAATTAAAAACCTCTTGAGTCTGATTCAGTGGCCTTGCAGTTAACACCATGAGCAGAATTTGAGTGTGGTATTTCATACTCATGTCAGGAAAAAAAATTATGTTCTGCCAAAAGTGAAATGTCTTCCCAGCACAGGAAAGCAGCATACCACTTTCTGAACTTCATCACACACATAACTATCAACATGCATCCCACTCTATCAGTTGATATTTCCAACCAGAATCTAGTCCAGGTTTCTGTGGCATAAGCCTTCAAGAGTAACATGAAAACACGACTGAATCCATTTCATATGAAACACTTTCTTACTACTTATGCTGGTCAATACTATACACCCTTACTCATCTGTTAGTAAATCAAGTCAGTACTTTGTACATGATTGCAAAAATTTTTATCAACTTGACAAAGTCTAATTGATGTTCACATGCATCAAGACTGACAAAAACTTTGTGGTTTCCAAAATAGAAGAAAAGCTACTTTACATTCGAAATGTGAAAAGTGACATTTATGTAATTCGGTGAAGTAAACACCACTCACAAACAATTTGTAAGTCAAAACCATTTCAATAAATTAATGGTCAATTCCATTTCCCTACTCCTTCCTCCTCAATACCACCATTTCCAGGTAGAGTGGTGCAGTGTAATCATATGTACTGTCCATTATCAGTTCACAAAATAATTAGATACAAATTAAATTTCATAAAAAATAATTAAAGCAGAAGTACAGTGAATTGTTATAGGTTACAGGGAAGAATGAATGGTATTTAAATCAGTGTAAAACACCACAACAATATATCCTGGAAAATTTCACAAACAAGTATAAATCACACTCATAGAATCGACTGGGTTGGAAAAGACCTCCGAGATCATCAAGTTCAACCCTTGATCCAACACCACCATGGTTACTAGACCATGGCACTAAGTGCCACATCCAATCTCAGCTTAAAAACCTCCAGGGACGGTGAATCCAACACCTCCCTGGGCAGCCCATTTCAATGTCTGATTACTCTCTCTGTAAAAAATTTTTTCCTAATATCCAACCTAAACCTCCCCTGGCAGAGCTTAAGACTGTGCCCTCTTGTCCTACTGCTGGTTGTCTGGGAGAAGAGACCAACCCCCACCTGGCTACAACATCCTTTCAGGGAGTTGTAGAGAGTGATGAGGTCTCTCCTGAGACTCCTCTTCTCCAGGCTAAACAACCCCAGCTCCCTCAGCCTCTCCTCATAGGACTTGTGTTCCAGTCCATTCAGCAGCCTTGTTGCTCTTCTCTGGACCTGCTCCAGCACCTCAATATCCTTCCTGAACTGAGGGGCCCAGAACTGGACACAGCACTCCAGGTGTGGCCTCACCAGTACTGAGCACAGGGGAAGAATCACTTCCCTGGTCCTGCTGGCCACACTGTTAATGATAAAGGCCAGGATGCCATTGGCCCTCTTGGCCACCTGGGCACACTGCTGGCTCATGTTCAGCTGCTGTTAATCCAGACTCCCAGATCCCTTTCTGCCTGGTTGCTCTCCAGCCACTCTGTCCCCACAGGGTTGTTGTGGCCAAAGTGCAGGACCCAGCACTTGGCCTTGTTGAACCTCATCCCATTGGAATCAGACCATCTCTCCAGCTTGTCCAGGTCCCTCTGAAGAGCCCTCTTGCCTTCCAGCAGATCAACATGCCCCCCCAACTTGGGCGTCATCTGCAAATTTGCTAGTGGTACACTCAATCCCCTTATCCAGATCATCAACAAAGATATTAAACAGGACTAGTCCAACACTGGTCCCTGGGGGACACCACTAGTGACTGACCACCAACTGGATGCAGCACCGTTCACCACCACTCTCTGGGCCCGGCCCTCCAGTCGGTTCCTGACCGAGCACAGAGTGCCCCTGTCCAAGCCGTGGGCTGCCAGCTTTTCCAGGAGTATGCTGTGGGAGACGGTGTCAAAGGTTTTGCTGAAGTCCAGATAGACACATCCCCAGCCTTCCCCTCATCCACCAGGTGGGTCACCTGGTCATAAAAGGAGATCAGGTTGGTCAGACAGGACCTGCCCTTCCTAAACCTGTGCTGACTGGCTCTGATCCCTTGTCCATCCTGCAGATGTTGTGTGATTGCACTTTGGATGATCTGCTTCATAACCTTGCCAGGCACTGAGGTCAGGCTGACAAGCCTGTAGTTTCCCAGGTCCTCCTTTTTGTGGATTGGCGTGACATTCACCAACTTCCAATCATCTGGGACCTTCCCAGTGAACCAGGACTGTTGGTAAATGATGGAAAGTGGCTTGGCGAGTTCTTTCGCCAGCTCCCTCATCACCTTAGGATGGATCCCACACTTCATAAAAAACCTATGTGCAACTTTGGGTTCATGTGTTTTTCAAAACCCATGTAAGAACTCCTTGCTTAGACTTAAAAGTTTGAAAAAAAGCAAGACATTTTTGCAAACACTTCTACACTATTAAAGTGAGATGTTAATAAACCTGATGTGGAAAAATTGCACAAGTCCCTGCTGCTTTCAAAATACTGTATTTATATAAAGAAACCTAGTATCTCTTTAGGAGTTCCAGATAAGAACATTGAAAAACCTTTCAAAGGTAGCTACAGATGTTTGGACATCCTTGGACTACCCATAGGTTTTGGGATTCATAAACAGTAGTTCTGAATTCAAGGTAAAAATTGGTAGAGATCTCAACAGCATGTATCATCTGACTGTAATGGCTCTCAAATATTTTACATCCTGGGACATAATCTCAAATGGATATTATTCTCCTAAACAGTGTCAACAATGCTTGGAGTATTAAACCTTTTTAGGTTAATGACAAATGCTGCAATA